AGGAATGCCCTGTGCCGGGCAGGAACGCCCTGTGCCGGGCCGGGACCCCGAGGGGTCCCCGCGGGCTGGGCCAGCCCCGTCGGGCTGCACTACGGCCGCGGTTTTGACAGCGGGGCAGATGATGGCCCTTAGGGCACTGGAGGAGCTTCACTCTTGGACCTCCTGTGCAGCAGACCTTTCTTCAAACTCGGAAACCTTCTCTTATCCTAAAAAAATCTCTCTTTTCAAAAGGCTTGAGGCAGTATAGGAAAAGGATTTCTTTTTAAAAGTAGTGTTTTTCTTGGAAAAGGAAACGATACTACAGAATTGTGGCTTGGTTCAAACCCTGATGTTGTAGAGTGTTGTTAATGGATTAACGCACTGACAATGGATGAAAGGTTTGTCCTGAATAAGATGGATGTAGGATGACAGTATCTCCTTGTTTTATGGTTGCATAGTTGACCTCTGCATGAAATTTCCTTTTCGCTGTGTGCATACTTTGCAATTAATGGCATAAGCATATTGTGTTTCCTTGTCTGTCCTTTTCCCTTTTTTTAAAGAACAGTCTCCGATGATTAACAACCTCTCTATTGTTTCATGTAGCCAAACTGGAAGAGTGAATACGCAGGCAGACACATTTTCCCCTGTAGCTGATGTGCTGTGCGCCATGACTTGAGCTGCGTGACTGGTCCTTTAGGCCTGGGCAAACGAGGAAACCACTGGGAGACGGACAGCAGATAGCGAATCTGTGCCAGGAAGGGTATCAGGTGCCAGAGCAAGTGGCTGAAACCTGGGTTGACCCAGAAGAATTGGGAAATATTTTGGCATCCTGAGCGCAGGAGCTGGTGTGCGCTGAGCACGGGCAGTGGTTGGACTGGGAGCGCAGCCGCAGGTGAAGCTGGGTGCTCACGGGTGGGCTTCTTGGGCAGGAACCTGGGTGGAAGCACAAAGCAAGGCTGGAAGAGCCGAGTCACCCTCTTCTGGTATATAGCGTTAACCTGTATGTCTGGGGTGAGGATGGCGGAGCCCGGGGCGTGAGGTCTGAGGGGGGTCCCGAGGAAGCGCCGTGTGTCTGCGAGCCTTTGATTGAGAGTTACCTCAAGCCATGCCCCTGGTCCCTTCGGTGAGTCCCCGACAGAGGTACTGAAGTTGGAGAGAAAAATTTCTTCAGGCAAGCCTGACTTCATGGCCGGGGCTACAAGGCGGCACCACCGGCGGAGCAGCCCGCTGTTGGTTTCCTTCCCTCTTTTCACTTATTTTATTTTCTTGATATAAACACTGCTCCTGGAGGAAAATTCACTTGCTGACTACAGCTGCTTTTGCTGCTGAATCATCCCCCAGTTTCCAGATGTGAGATGATGGATTTCTCCTGCAAACAGAAATCTCTGCTTTGTCTTGTGTTGCATAGCTCGGCGCCCTGCGAGGGGGAGAGGGAAGGTGCTCCCTGGGAAGCGTTCCAGGAAGAGGGGGATTTAGCGTTGAGGGGTCATTTCTCTGCCCAAACCCTCAGTTTTGATCTACACCATGAGATTTGTGCCTCCCCAAATGCGTCCTGGGTGGCAGAGCGGACCCAAGCCATCCCACCGCCCTGTGGCTAGTGCCAGCACGGCTGTGGGTGGCAGGGAGGGACAGGTCCCCCTCCATTAAAGGTAAACCTGCAGGAGACAAACGAACAGGTTCATTTTGTTGAGTAACGCTGACGAAGCTCCCTCGTTCGGCCCCCTGCCCCGACTGGCGTGTGGGGCGAGAGCTGCTCGCGTCCGCGTTGCCACCGCAGAGGTGCCCCCGGAGGTGCGGCTTTGGTGGCTCTCGTCAAGGCTGGCACCGTGGCCGGTGGGTGGGAGAGCACGGGAACAAGCTGTGTTTTGATGACCTCCAAGGAAGGCATGTGTTTAAGTGGCCTAACGATGATGTGCTGTGTGACACACGGCCTTTTTATGGGGTGTTTTTGGTACGGGTAATGGGGATATCGGGCTGGTGTTGGGGCACCCAAGGTGAGCGCAGTGGTGAGGTCTGCTGTGGTCAGCAGCGTGCGTGCCCAGCTGCCGCTGCCACCCGTCCTGTGAGGACATTATACTCTCAGCTTCCCGGCCCTGTGCTCCTGCTGGAGCTCTCGGGAGAAATCCTGCCGGCAGGAGCCCCGCTGGAAGCACACAGACCCTCGCACCCGGGGCCAGCTTCTGAATCTCTGTCCTCGGTGTTAATATCATTAATTAGGAGCCTGCGGTGGGGAAGGTGGAGAAGCGCTTGCCTGCCTGCTCGCAGATCAGAGCCTCTCCTCCTCCCTGCTCCCCTCAGATGTGTCGGCCGTTGCTGCCTTGTGTGTTGCTATCAACATCGCCTTTGGAAACTTTCCTTCCCCGCTTGCTATTTCTGGAGGGAGCATGTGATTGAATCGGCTCCCCGTGCTGCGCCGCGGTGGAAGGGGGCTCCCGGCTTTGTTCCCAGCAGAGGAAGGGTGTGCACAGCCTACACAGCCCCTTTTTCCTGTTTGAATGGATGCTGCCACGCTCGGCTCCAGCTTGTGATGCTGATGGAGCGCTGGGGGTGGGGGGTGGTGTGTATGTGTGTTTCTGAGGTTGATGAAGGATTATTTTAAAACTTTTTACTCAGTTGAGCTGGAGAAATACAACCTGTCTGAAGGCTGATCTCTTACAGCCACGGTTTTCATTACGCTGGGCTTTTAAGTCGTCCTCAAACTGTGATTAAAACCTTCTGCCATTGTTTTTCCACTTTTTATTGTATGCACTGAAACATTACTTTGATCTAGAGTAGCCAAGCCGTAGTAGTGACCGGGACAGGAGGAAGAGCGCCGGTGTTTGAGGACAGGAGAGTCTTGGGGTGAGCCCCAGTGTTGGCTCAGAGGGTGGCTCTGTCACAGGCAGTGCTGGATGCATCGCCTCATGCTTCTGCATTTCAAGTCCTCTCTAATGACGTTTCTTTTCCTCTCTTACTCTTTGCCTCCCTCGTTCATGCAGGCTGTGAGTACTTGTGGGTGAGAGTGGCTTTCTGCTCCTTGCCTGAGTTGCACCTACTGTAATGCCCAGAAGATATAAAGGGAATTGTCTGCTTTGCTTGAAGTTTATATCCTTTATGTGCATCTTTGAGAAGAGGAGAGGCAAGGA